TAGCATTCTGGGAATTCGGGGATTCGGGGAATTCCCTGCTTTTGCTTTACTAGCTGATATTGAACGAAAGCACGGCAGCAGAGGCAGCAGAGGCAGAGACGCTCTGCTGCTGAGTGAGGTTCGATGGTAAGATACCAAGAATCTTGAGTAAGACAGAGATGGCTACATACACTCGACATGAGTGAGTTTACGACATGAGAGAGTTTACGACATGAGTGCCTAGGCTGACATGGTCAGTTGAGCTTGGGTATCTGAACCAATCGGAACTCGCTGTGCAGCCGTGTCAATCATCAGAAGTATCAACATGGATGACATACCTTTGCCGCCGACAGACATACCCCTGCCGCCGACAAAAGAAGTGGGAATAGCTCCGCCAAAAGAGGACAGCTCTAACTTATTAAGGGCAGCCTTAGAAGAGCAAAATCGTAATCTAATGGAAATAATAAAATCCATGCAGGCACCAAGAGCACCGGCAATAGACGGGAGAGCACTCCACGTCACTCTACCCAAGTGGCTTGGTGTACTACAGTGGACCTAATCTTCGCGGATAATGCTCTCGAAGGCAGTGCGCTTGGAATTGCGTTAAGCAAAGCATTAGAAGGCAGTGCATCGCAATGGCTGTCCCAAATATGCTTCGCTGGCATCACATGGCCGCAGTTTAAGGAACTCTTCATCCAACGTTTCGTGGGTATTGAGACAACTTCTGCCATACTGATGAACACTTTGAACGGACATCCCAAAACTGGAGAGAGTTTTGCTGAGTACGGCAGTCGCATAGTCACCCTATTGCTGTCTAAGTGAAAGACAAAGAATTTGGAGGAGATTGCTGTATCAGTAGCGTTAGCCCACATGGCTCAAATTGATAATAATTTGTTGCGTTGGCTGTTTACAACGAATGTGACGACTCGTAATGAGCTGCAGCAGCAGCTACAGGCTTACGCTTTCAAGAAGCGTAACAACGAGGAGGACGGATATTCGACTGGTCCGGATAAGAAGAAAACAAGAATGCAGTCGCAGGTGAAGTGCCATTTTTGTGGAAAGGCTATCCACAAATTTGCAGAATGCCGCTCTCGAATGGGAAAAGCATCAGCCCCAACAGAAAGGAGTTATAGCGTGAGCAGCACGTCCGGAGTGAAGGATCGATCAAAAATTAAATGTTTTAAGTGCGATGAAATCAGACATGTGGCTTCTGTATTCCCCAAAAATCGTACTGCGAGTTGACGTTTGTACAGTAGCTCCACCAAGTGGAACAATTACCTTATCCGGTGAGTCTATTCCATATTGTTTCGATTCTGGAGCCGAATGTTCACTGGTCAAGGAGAGTGTTGCGGAAAAATTCACCGGAAAACGATTTCACAATATTGTAACTTTAAATGGCATAAGTAACGATTCAATTTGTAGCACATTGCAGGTTCTGAGTAATATTAATATTGAACAATATTGTTTAGAAGTTTTATTACATGTGGTTATGGACAAATATTTGAAGCATGAAGTGTTGATTGGCCGTGAAGTTTTAAGCCAGGGCTTTGGTGTATCAATTGATGCAGATAAATTTTGCTTTTATAAGACAAAAAGAGTAAATGTTCTGAGTCTAGTGAAGTAGGAAGAAATCATAAATTCTGATACCAATTTAAATGATTCTGATAAGACGATATTGAACAATATGTTGAGATGTCACTCTGATAGGTTTATCGACGGAATTCCAATGACTCGTGTGACGACAGGCCAATTAGAAATTAGGCTAATAGATCCACAAAAGACTGTGCAACGCCGACCTTATAGGCTTAGCGAAGATGAGAGGAAGCACGTTCGGTGCAAAATTGATGAATTGCTTACATCAAAAATTATTCGTCACAGCTGTTCACCATTCGCTAGTCCCATGATGCTGGTTAAGAAGAAAAATGGCACAGATCGTCTTTGTGTAGATTACCGCGTTTTAAATGAAAATACAATTGCCGATAAATATCCTTTGCCTCTTATTTCGGATCAAATAGCTCGTCTTCGTGGTGCAAGGTACTTTTCGTGTATAGATATGGCAAGTGGATTTTACCAAATCCCAGTACACCCAGATTCAATTGAGCGAACGGCTTTCGTTACACCTGATGGACAGTACGAATTCTTAACCATGCCCTTTGGTCTGAAGAACGCACCTTCTGTGTTTCAGCGTGCAATAATAAAAGCCCTGGGTCCGTTGGCACACACATTCGCAATTGTTTACATTGACGATGTTATGGTAGTAGCTAAAAGGAAAGATGAAGCGTTAGAACGACTAGAGATAGTGTTGGACACCTTAAGTAAAGCCGGATTTTCATTTAATATAACGAAATGTTCGTTTCTTAAAACTAAAATCGAGTACCTTGGGTTTGAAATAACGAATGGAAAAATTCGGCCAAATGCACGAAAGATCCAGGCATTGATAGGGTTGCCACCTCCGGAAACTGTAACTCAATTACGACAGTTCATTGGTTTAGCTTCTTACTTTCGGCAATTCATTCCAAATTTTCCGAAATATTAAAACCATTGTACATGCTTACTTCAAAGAATAATGCTAATTTTGTCTGGTTGTCAGAGCATGAACAAATACGTTTGAAAATAATGGGTGTATTGACACAGGCCCCAGTATTAACTATATTTGATCCACAATATCTAATAGAATTGCACACAGATGCCAGCTCCATTGGTTAAGGGGCGATATTGTTACATAAAATCGAAAATAAATCCTATGTAGTGGAGTATTATAGCAAATTTACTTCTCCGGCTGAAGCAAAATACCACTCGTACGAACTCGAGACTTTAGCAGTTGTCAATGCTATGAAGCATTTTAGGCATTATTTACAAGGTCGTCAATTTGTCGTTTACACAGATTGGTGGGGGTTTCTACAGTCATTTGATTTCGATCTCGATTATAGAAAAGGGGAGCGAATGGCGCATGTCGATTTCCTTTCCCAAAATCAACTGCCAGAAGGAAATAAGTGAGCGGATAAAATAATTGAGAAGCGTATTAATCTTACTGAACTGACCGACAATTGGTTGGTGTCCGAACAGCAGCGCGATCCTGAAATAATCAATATTTCATCCAAGTTACGCAATAACGAGTTACAGGAAAATTTAAATAAAACATTTCAATTAAGAAAGGGCATATTGCATAGAAAAATACAGAGAAATGGTAAAACAAGGTGCTTGCCGGTAATTCCAAGGGCGTTTAGGTGGGCAGTGATCAACCACGTACATGAATCTGTTATGCATTTGGGATGGGAAAAAACATTGGATAAGGTATATGGATATTACTGGTTCGAGAATATGTCAGAGTATGTACGTAGATTTGTGGAAAATTGTATCACGTGCAAACTAGCAAAACCCCCAAATGGAAAGGTCCAGGCAGAATTGCATCCAATTCTTAAGATAGAGTTACCATGGCACACAGTACACATCGACATAACGGGTAAAATGAGTGGCAAAAACGACTTGAAGGAATACGTCATTGTTTTAATGTATGCGTTCACCAAGTTTGTTTATTTTTACCACACACTGAATATAGACACTGAAAGTTGTATTAAAGCTGTGAAATCGGTTGTGGCGCTATTTGGGTTGCCAACTAGAATAATAGCAGACCAAGGTCGTTGTTTTGCTAGCTCAGGCTTTCGCAATTTCTGTTCCGCTCAAAAGGTTCAACTGTATTTGATCGCTACCGGAGCTAGTAGGGCAAATGGACAGGTTGAACGCGTGATGAGCACACTTAAGACAATGCTGACGGCAGTTGAAACGAGTCAGAGATCATGGCAGGATGCATTGGCTGAAGTTCAACTGGCCATGAATTGTACTGCAAATCGAGTCACCAAGTTTAGCGCTTTAGAGCTATTAATAGGAAAAGAAGCTAGGCCTTTTGGTTTATTGTCAATAATCGAAGACAATGATGTAGATAGAGAACAGATTAGAATTCAAGCCAAGGAAAACATGGAAAATAATGCAAGATATGACAAACAAAGATTTGACAAAAATAAGGCAAAGATTATGAAGCATAATGTAGGTGATCATGTTTTAGTGAAAAACAAAGAACGGCATCAGACAAAGCTCGACCCTAAATTTAAAGGTCCATTTGAGGTGATCAAAGTCTTAGACGGCGATCGATATGAACTAAAATCATTGGTTAATAAGCGAACGTATAAATATTCACATGAGTGGCTAAGAGCGCTACCAAGCAGACAAATAATTAACGAATTAAACGAAGAATTCGATGGCCTAAGTGATGGCGATTCCCAGGAGAGGAACGAACCAATCGACGGCGTTAGTAAGCGTGCGCCTGTGTCCCAAGAGGGGAATTGAGGACAGCACCATAACAGCTGTCTCACAGGGATGAGAAGTGTTATGGCGGGGATCAAGGTGATTGGGTGTAAGTGTGCACACCAAATTAAATTGAGAAACTGAGAGACAAATCTAAGTTTTGTAAAATCTGAATTATTGGAAAATTCTGATTAGAATTAAATGATATGAATAAGATCATGAAGCTAAAAAAGTATTATGTTTGTAAACAAAAGGAAATTGTGTTTCCTAGATAAGAAAAATTGTCAGTTAATGTTTGTGTAAGCGGCTCTGTAAGTTTGTAAATTGTAAGAGAAAATAATGTTATTAAAAACAAGAAATATCATAATTAAAAGAGTCTGGTATGTGACTTGGACATGGGTGGTGGATGTAGCACACGAGGACGTGTGATAGGTCAGGAAGGCCGTGTCGCAGTGTGATTCCTAGTAATTGTACGTGGGTACATTCCTCAGTAGCATTCTGGGAATTCGGGGATTCGGGGAATTCCCTGCTTTTGCTTTACTAGCTGATATTGAACGAAAGCACGGCAGCAGAGGCAGAGACGCTCTGCTGCTGAGTGAGGTTCGATGGTAAGATACCAAGAGTCTTGAGTAAGACAGAGATGGCTACATACACTCGACATGAGTGAATTTACGACATGAGTGAGTTTACGACATGTGTGCGTAGGCTGACATAGTCAGTTGAGCTTGGGTATTTGAACCGATCGGAACTCGCTGTGCAGCCGCGTCAATCATCAGAAGTATCAACATGTATGACATACCTTTGCCGCCGACAGACATACCCCTGCCGCCGACATATACTTTATGGGGTCGGAGATACTCCCTTGTGCCTGTTACATATTTGGAATTGGCACAAATTCAATATACCCTTATACCCATTTTTAATGGGTTCAGGGTATAAAAATGCACAGGACACAAGCATGCACTCGCGATAAAAAAAAAAAATAAACTGGGAAGGCAAACAGAAAAAATAAATATATCAAATATAAATATGTAAAACGCCGGTGTTTTATTAAATGAAAAACAAAACGAAGAGCACAAAAAAACACGTCTGTTCGCTTCAAGAGGAGAACGATATACGATTTATTATCATTATTGAAATTTATTATACAACAAAATTTAATGGCTTTCATTATGTTACGGAACGCTTGTTTCTCTGTGGGCCACGCCGGCTGGCTCATCGGTTTCTCTGGGTGTAGTCCCATCCCTGGCCCGCAGTCCGCACAATCGATAACAACGAAGCTACACGTCTGTAGTAAAACAGACTTACACAACACTATGCAAAGCGAACCACCACTAGATAAGGTCAAACAATCGGAGCTTCTAATTCATGAACAAAATAAACAGCTGTGACAGCTATGAACATGTAAACAACAAAGGTGAGACACTCAATATAAATTAACAAAAAAACACTATTTATCCACTTTACTCTTCCAGAGTAAGCCCCGGTTCCGGACCCAGCGTACCCGCCCAACCATGAGACGATCACCTACTCGTTTCCCACTTTCTGCCATTAGATGGCCATCAACCTGTGCCGGCTGTTATGCCAACTCTCACCATCAAAGAAAATTTAGCCGGACATTTCTCTCTTCAGATACGGTATATAATTGGTTGCATTTCATATCGTTATTAACACTTAATCTTATTTCTTATTCCCCAGCAGGTGATCGTCAAGCCATTATTTATACTTTCGGACTCGCGAACATTTTCGGCATTTTAAACCAGGTGCATACGATAAGTTGTATATTCTTATATTTAAAATAATGGATAGAGGTTTTAAGTTTCAATTTCTTTCCTTCTTTCAACTTTGCTTCAACGGTTATCTATAACGCGTTGCATCATTTCATATTTGTAACAATTTCTATTAATCTTAAATATATTAAATTTCCTTTTTTTTGTACAGAATATCTTTTTCTGTTGGCGACCTTCGTACCGGAGACCAAAAAAAAAAACGGCCAGAAATTATTGCCAGTCAACAAAGGAAAATAAAACAAGGGGAGAAATATAAACATAAGTAATTATTGCACCAATGGGGAGCAAATACCCGCTAAAATAAATGCGTGTATACATATGTGTTTCCAACGAAAGGCGTTATTTGTCAAAGCGCTTATTACCTTGGCTGCCTAAAGAGCTCTCTGGTGGGGGGGCACATGCACCTGAGGTGCGTAACATATATATATATATATATATATATATATATATATAAATATATATATATATATATATATTTATATATATATATATATACGCATAAGTGGGTATCACTCGTGCATAAGTTGACCAAAATCTAAACATTTTAATTTTATTCTTTACTTGGCAGACACAATAATCTTTAGGCCCTTTCCTTTCCGGTTCGCACTTTACTTAATAAAAATAAAGGAGTACAATGGGAAGTCCGCGTCTGAATCTGCCGTTTACTCAGGCGAGGAGGCACGAAATGGAACAGACTCACTCGGATGATATGGGCGTGGTCTCGCCCGTGGCTGCCTCTTCGTCGTGTGAGTCCCGTCCGTGGTGGCTCGTCTCTCCGTCGTATGGATTACGCCGGCACTTGGCCGAGCTTTGAAAATCCGGCCCGTGAATATCGGGGTTGATCTGGCCAGCGTCCTCCGGCGCGGGATTCAAGCGTGGTGTGCCATAGAATGGCTGCGGCTGCTCTAATAGAGTATCGCTTTTGAAGAAGTTTTAAATGACGACAGTGTGTTTCGGGTGTATTATTGTTTCGCGTATTATCGATCTTGGGCACTATTTCTTTTGCAATACTTTAGCACATAAGGAATTATTTTCGCAATTAAATAATGAAGAAAGCCCGTCATGAACAAATGTATGCGCATTGATTTTTTTCTATTTTTCTTTTGGTTAAGCACATGCTCCGTGGCCGGCAAAAAAAAAAATCCATCTTCCAAAAATTCTTCTGTGAGCCGATACGTCCGCTGTGGACCGCTGACAAAGTCGAACTCCCCGTACATTTGGGCAGCAACATCATTGGTGCCGAATTTCGGTACACGCATACATTGGCGAGGCGAGCACCATTGCTGCCCATCTGCACAGCTTTTTTTTTTGGGTCAATGGCCCAAATGACGGCCAAGGGCATATCCAAGGGCATGCGATCCACTCTCCTCATATTCTCTTTAAGAACGAATTGGACGGCCAAAAACAATTGTCGCTTTTGGCGCCGTGGATCGCAAGTCTGGCGTTGCCACCCTTCAAAAATTTAGGCTCCGCCGTGGGCCCAGCTTCACCCCGCATACTCTGACCATATGACAAAAAGATATCGGCGTGGCTGATAATATCGCACGCAACCAACTAAGTAAACCCTCGGTGCTGCCGATAACGTCAAATGCAACATCACCACGCAGATTATTGTAACGACATGAATGACCGTTACAAGGAATCTCCGTGCGCATTTCATGGATTGACCAAGCCGGCTAATAACGATGCCCAACGTAGGCCACACCCACGACAAGTAATCTATATTTTCGCACTGACCCAAAAGATAAAAGGGAGGACGGGCGCTGCTACCGCCATTGCCTGGCAGGGAGGTGAGCAAATTACAATTATGTTCGTATATCTTTTGCGTGGAAAACGCCTAGCACGCGTCCCTGGAGATCTTCTAACTCATAGGCGTTGGTGCACACGGCTCGGACAACTCGGCTCTTTAAGAATTTCCGGGCGCACTTGGCATTGAAGGCTTTGCCGAAGCTGCTTAGTGCGAAGTTGCGCCTCCACATTTCCTGTCCCGGTTCCAGATGAAGCTGCGCGCGGTGGTCGTATCGTTGGCGACTTCGCTCGTATGCGGTGTGCAGGTGGTCCTTGACTTGGCTTTGGATTACGGCCAGTCTGTCCTTCGCATCAAGGTCAGAAATACTGTGATTGGCTAATAATCTCAGCTTCTTGGCCAGTTTGTAACTGGAACCATTCAGGTACATCTGCTGTCCAAAGACCGCGAAGAACGGAGTCACTCTAGTAGCGCTGTGGACCGCATTCCGGATCGCCACTTCCACCTCTGGTAGGTACGCATCCCAATCCCAATGATCCTGACCCAGGTAGGTTCTGATTGAAGACAGCACTTTGCGGTTCACGCGTTCGGCGGCGTTGCTCTGAGGTGAATAACCTTGGGTTGCTCAGGTGAGTAATGCCAAACGCCGGACCATCGAACGACTTTGACACGAATTGTCGTCCATTATCCGAAGTTCACGACATCCGCCGCGGTGGCTTCTCTCATGGCCTTCAGGAAGGTAAATTTCGAGAAATGGTCTACGACGACGAATATCCACGCATGCCCTCGTTTCGACCGTGGATACTTCCCCAAGAAGTCGATATATAGCTTCTGGAAGGGGCGGTAGGTGCGCACTTCTTCCCCAATTCCGACCTGCGTCCGGTAGTATTGTGCATTGGTCTCCTTGCATGTATCGCATTTCCGCATGTATCGCAGTCAGCGACTCCGGCACCCAGAGCTTCTAACTTGTGCCTTCGACCTCATCCTCCTCCGTCCTGTACTCTAAGAACCGGCAACTTCCCTTGTTGGGTCATCACCTCTTTTATCAGCTCTCGATATTCGGTGCTCTCGAGCTCCGGGGTCTGAAATCCCAACAGATCCTCTGGGGTCAGTTCGACCTCTTCCACGCTTTGGGACAACGTGTCGGCGACGACGTTGTCGGCTCCCTTGCGGTACTGCATGGAGAAGGGGAACGCTTGCAGTTCTAGGGACCACCTGGCTAATCTCCCGCTCTAGTCTTTGAGACTGATAAGCCACTGCAGGCTCGCATAATCGGTGATTACCGTGAACGGCATCTTCTCCACGTACGGTCGGAATCGATGTATGGCCAGTTTGGCGGCTAGGCATTCCTTCTCGGTCACCGAATAGTTGATCTAGTGCTTGTTGAGTTTGGTCGAGAAGAATGCGATCGGCCTTTCCTGTGGCTCGTCGTCTAGCTGGAACAACACGGCTCCTACTCCGTAGTGAGATGCGTCGATTTGGATAAGGAATGGTCTTCGAAAATCCGCGTGAACTAACACCGGAGCTGTGGTGAGGGCTAGAATTTTGACTTCGCCATGCCTATGGTGAGGTTCGCGTTCCTCAGACACTCGGCGACCAGTTCTTAGTATTTTAGGAGCGTTGGAAAATCTGTCGATATTATCAGGAAATCGTCTAGGTATACGAACACGTTGGACCTCAGATTCGCCGGGATTACCTTGTCCATGAGCCTTTGCAGAGCCCGAATGGCAGCGGCCTCCCTGGTACGGTAAACGCCGTATACGTCCTGCTCTTCTCCTCCGTCTCGATTTGCCTGAACGCGAACTTATGGTCGACGCTAGAGATAAAATGAGTCTCGTCGATTCGCGATAGGATGCCCTCGATGCATGGAAGCGGGTAAGCGTCCTTTACCGTCATACTGTTTAATTTCCTGGCGTCTAAGCAAAACCTGTTCTTTCCAGGCCTCATCATTACCGTCGTCTGGTTGCTCCAGGGGCTGTTACTCTCCTCGATGATGTCAACTTTAGCATTTTATCCATCTCGGCCCACACGATCTCCTGTTTGGCCGGAGACAGCGGATAATGTCTGTCCTTCACGGGTTCTGCTCCCTCGATCAGCTGAATTCGGTGCTGCAGCAGGTGAGTTTTCCCTAAGCCATCCTTCTCAAATTGGAGAAATCTGCGTTTCACGCTTTCCAACTGACTCCTCTGATCGTTGTCCAGGTCCCATATTTCCGGATCCGCCGCGCAGTCATCGTCGTCCCGGTAATAAGCTACCTCTGGGTTCGCTAACGTTACCTCAGATGCCTCTGGTGGTGTTTCGGGCTTTCTGCCCGGACCGAGCAGCTCTGGTATAATCTCGAAGGCCCGCCAGAAGTCGATTCCCAGGTATAGTTCCTGTCGCAGGTCCGGGCATATGTAAAATACGATATCTTCCTTTCTATTCTCGTATTTCACAGGCAGAACAACGCGACCTAAAATTGGGCGATTGGCACCCGCCGCTGTCCTTACTACCGATTCGTATGGCCGCGAATCCCATCCCAGTTCCTCCACTAACTCTCGGCATCCTCGTCCCAACAGACTGACTGAGGCCCCCGTGTCCAGCAACCCTTTCATATTAGCCCCGGCGACTTCCACTTCGGCGAATACGCGTGGGTCTATACTATCCTCCCGTCTCACCGCTTCGACGACCTGGTGCCGGGTAATCCTGCGTCTGCGGAAGCGCGCACGTGCCACCACCACTCTCCGAGTGGATAGTGTCATTCCTTCCAGCTGTCGCTCACCAAAACTTCAATTTCGGGCCAACATGTATGCCCGAACACGTTCTTCATATGGTAAGCCCCTAAGTGTTCCTCCTTTGCTTATATTATTATAATAATGAGCCTTATCCTATCCCAAATCTCCATCTCCTTTCCAATGATTATTGGCTTTGGTAGGTACCCCTCTTCTGCTTCCCTGCTGTCGCCGTCCCGGAACGCGTCTGTCCCGCCATCACCGCGCTCCCTCTGGGGTTTCCCGGACAGTTTTCACACTGGGAGCAGAAAGTGTCCGGCTTTCCACACCTATAGCAGAATATTTTCCGCTCCTTGGACAGGCAGTCTCTAAAGACCTGATCGAACTGTCTGCAGTTCGAGCATACAAGTCGGGATGAGCTCCTGCCTTGCACGAATGCTTCCTCCAGCTCTCCCGGCGGCGTTTTTGTACGATGTGGTGGTACTTCAACCTCGTGGACTACGGGCGTCGTTCCTTGTGGACAACGCGACGGCTGCAGGTACCCCGTCCGGCTTCTGCGACCCATGTGCCTCTCCACTTCTAGGCGCTCTTGGCGCAGCTCATCCACGGTGAGTACATCCATGGCAGAGATATATTTCGCTAGACTTTCTTTCAAACCACGCTTTATAATTTTCACCAGCTCGCGGTCTGTCAGCGGCTTCAGGAATCGCGCGGCGAGTTGAAGCATGTGGTGGATCCAATACCACTCGCGGGCGCGGCCGGTCAGGAGCAGGTGGAAACCGCGCAGGACCTCCTTTCACGGGCATTGATACTTTCTCTGCAGGAACTCCAGGCGGAACACGAAGTCCTCGACCGAATTCACCGCTCGAGCTTCAGGTACACAGTTTCTCGTACGCCCCCTCCAGTTGAAAATCATTCGCTCTCCGGTCCTCTACTCGGAAATGACGGTTACTCAGGTTACGCCTCAAATAAGCATCTGCGACGTAAGCTGGGCTGCTGGACGAATACTCCGCCCCTCGTGCGCCTTGTCTATGTCGCTTCGGTGGCACCGGTAGTGGAAATGCCTCGCGCTGGAATACTTCCCGTTCTTTCGGGATGGCGCGTGTTCGTGGTCCCGGCTCGACATGTCTCGGCGGCTTCGGCGCAGTGTCAGTCTCGGTGGTTTGGCTCCCTGGCGGCCTGAGCACATCAATGATGCCCTTCATAGTTTCCATGAAACCAGCTCGCATCTCCTCGCGGAAGGACTCGCTGATGCCAGATGGCAGAGCATGCCGATACGTTTGGTGGGCCTGAGCGATCGCCGCGTTTGCCGCCGATTTGAGCACTAAGTCTTTCGGGGCTTATGGGAACTCCAGGTTCCGTGGAGGTTTATTCTTTCTCCAAGTCTACCATGTGACCCTCTTTTGGGATCTGTCTCTCTGGAAATCCCCGGAAATTCTTGGCGTTTGCACCAGCCCCCCAGCCGGGCGCGGCGGTGGCAGAGTCGACGCCCCATCAGCGTCAGAAGCCCAATCAGACACCTGTTCCTCAGCCATAACTATCCCTTCTGAGAACTGTACCCCTCTCTTCTACAAGGCTTACTACCCTTTTATAAAAAAATCCTTACCAATATTCCCA